ATTAAATAATTTTGATCTATAAAATGACATTTTGTTTATATACACACACACACACACATATGCACACACACATTCATGCACATATGTATGTGTGTGTGTGTATATATTTCCAATTCTCATTACAATTAGAAAAATATTTTTAAATGATGTATTTAATATTTATTTCAATTATATATAAATTGTATGAAATATAATTATTATCATTTTTTATATATAAAAGTAATATATTGCATTTATTAGCAATATATTATTATATTAGTGTGTGCAATATACATATTTGTAATATAATATATTTTAATATAATATTTTTATTTTTTATTTATTTTTTTTAATGGTAAAGTACATCTGTTGTAATTTTTGTGAATTTATTTAATTAAAAATAATTTATTTTAATTTTGTGACTGCCCTTAATATAATACAAATTTAGGGGAGGGATGGGGCCTATTTTAAAATATGAATAATAGACTTCATTTTCTTTCTGCAAATGGTAACTTCTTAGAAATTTATTTTTTCCTTTTTCTTTTGAGAGTGTAATATGTCCCAGCATTTCTTTAAGAGACTCAGCCAATACCTTTAATGACTTACCGAGAGGAGTAAATAGGTCTGGGAGTTTTTAAATTGCTCGGTTTAAGGTGAGAGATGAATTTGATCTAAAGAGAGAAAGAGTCTGATCTATCAAGAGAAATATGAGACATTTGTGTAACTTTAATAAAGTTCCTATGGCCTGCTGCTCCGTGCTGCGCGCAGTAATTGCTAGATGAGGCGTTCCTGCTTTGCATCCCAGCAGATCGTGTCTATATCTACCCACGCACGGGGAAACAGCGGCCGTCTGGTTACCTGAGCAACGAATTTCCACCGTCCCTCCATTCATCACCCTGCACTGCAGTGTGATCCTCAAACACACAGTTTACACAGCCATCTTCACACCGCACAAAGACACATTCAGGAACTCTCTGTTCTCATGTGCAGACTGACACTGCTTGAACAGAAAAGGTTAAACCTGTCCCTCTAAATGAATTCTGAAAGCTTACTTTGACTCATGCAAGCAATTTCAATGTAACATTGTGTTCCATTTGACTCGGAAAGTCAGAATTTCTGATTTTAAAAATTGTACAGCACCAGACAAAAGTTTGGAATTACCTCCAGTCTCTTCGGCTCACCAAGTCTGCATTTATTTGATTAAGGATACAGTAAAAATAGTGAAATATTTTTAAAATTAAAAATAAAATTAAAATTAAAAAACTGTTTTCTATGTGAATATATAGTCAAATGTAATTTATTCCTGTGATCAAAGCTGAATTTTCAGCATCATTACTCCAGTCTTCAGAGCATAATCCTTTAGAAATCACTCTAATATGCTAATTTGCTGCTCAAGAAACATTTCAGAGTATTATCAATGTTGAAAACTGCTTGAAATTCAACTTTTGTTCTCGTCCAGCACCACTAAAGCATGAATATCATGTGGCTTGCTGAAGATAGGTGTGTTATTACTTTTCTAAAAGATGAGTCTAACCATTTTCGCTTGGTGGATAAATGTGAGTGAAAAAAATACTTGCATACACCGAGCCATATCTACAGAGACATGTATGGAGCCTATTCACTTGCTTCAGAAAAACATAAGAATCCAGTTATTTTGCCGTTTGGTTTGGTGCCACCAGTGGCACAGAAATTGCTTAGAGCAGCTTTAAGTATAATTGCATGTGTATGTGTTTGTGTTTGTGCGTGTGTGTTTTTGTGTCCGTTTTGATGTTGAAATTCATCACTCTGTACCTGATTGTGTGCGTGTGTCCCGTCTCCAAACTGACAGCTCTACAGTAGCAGCTGACTGCTGCAGATCGCAGTGAGCTTGAGCTCTGGAACCCAATCTCCATGTGCTCCCAGAGATCCTGTTCGTTTCTCCATCCCACCAGCACAGAACATGAGTTTCTCTATATTGCCCTGGAAGAAAAAAAACAATGTGAGACATTTCTAGGTACAAATTAATCTCCTGAACACAACCTACAAACGTTTTTTTTAAAGACAGGTAAGATTGCAGTGGTGAGCGACTCTGCTCAATTGCGCCGCTGTCATCTCCGTTTTCCTGAATGGATGTTACTCCTTTAAAAAGCACGATTCTGGAGCTTTATATGCTGGTGAACACTGGCCGTCTCAGGGTTTGGTCCTCAATCCCTGAAGCAAAATCCATATAACATCCACCAGAGGAAAACTATGATGTTTCTGGTCTTATTTTGAACACTTCATCAATGTATGTTATTCCCCACTCAGCTGCTAGGAGAAACAACTGAGGCATTAAAGGAATAGTTCACTCAAAAATGAACATTTACTTAAAAATCACAAGACATGGGACTGGAGTGGTGTGAATTATTGTGATGTTTTTATCAGCTGTTTGGACTCTCATTCTGACAGCACCCATTCACTACAGAGCATCCATTGATGCAATGCTACATTTCTCCAAATCTGATGAAGACACAAACTCATCTACATCTTGCATGACCTGAGGGTGAGAACATTTTCATGTTTGGGTGAATTTTTCCTTTAAAGAGTTCTCATCTGAGGTTTTCTTTTTATGTGAGACATGACCAGAATTAGATATGAATGTGTGCCTGTTTTGAAATATTCCATTACCCACAACAACCTGGACAGATGCACTTGCACATCAAGAGCCCTTTCAAGAAAACTTTGTGTCTTTGCCCTTGGCATTGATGGTCTGTTTGTCTATATATCCCACTGTTCGACACAGAGATGAGACATGGGCTGAAAAAGTAACTGGCACTTTGTAAGCAGCTCTGGTCCATCTGGTGAAATTGTGCATTTAATCCAATTTCTGCGATGGTCTGAATTCATGTGTGAAAGCTGAAATGAGATGCACCCATTACGCATACACCGAGGTTCGCCACTACAAACGTGGAGGGCATGCGAAGAAGCCTTTTGACATGGTGTAATTAATTTATGGGATAGATTATTTATATTCTATCAAAGATTAAATTTTAGAAGTGAAGTGTAGCCAAGTATGGTGTCTCATACTCTGAATTTGTGCTCTGCATGTAACCCATCCAGTTCAGTAGAGAACAAACATACACACACACACCGTGACACACACATCTCGTGTCGTTTCAAACCCATATACTTTTTTACTGTCAAACATAAAACAATCTTTATACAGCTTTTTATGGGTTTGGAACCACATGACGGTGCGTAAATAATAACAGAACTCTTAAAAATAAAGATTCTTTATGAAAAACCTTTAACAACCATGGCATCTTTCCACAAAAAGTTCTTTATAGTCAAACAAAAAAAATGGCTATTTTAAGAACTGATCACTGAAAGCTTCTTTAGGGAATCCAAAACAGTTCTTCTATGGCTTTGCTGCAAAACCCCTCTTTATTTTGAAGAGTGAAGATCATTTTAGACAAACTATTGCTTTAACAGATAAGGATCAAAATGAAAAACATATTTTTATGGACAATTACCATTCCACATATACCATAAAGCATCCCAGAGCAGTTTAACTTCGACTGAAAGCTCTTGCAGTGCTTGGCTCACTGGAGTTTGGACAGAGGTTTTGCCAATTCTGATGGAAGGACTGTTTGAGAGAGAGACAGAGTGAAAGAGGAGGAAAACTGACATTGACAATATTGGTGAACAAACAAATTGTGGCAGCGTTGTAGAGGATTTGATGCAGCGACGGAGCGCCGCAGACAGTACATGAGAGTCCTGGGAGATGAGCGCACATATCAGATACTGACAGAAACACCTGGGTCCCTCAAATATCACAGCTCCTGCCTCCGCTCTGTCTTTCTAGCTGTCGCTTACTCTTGTCTGTGCGATATATCTCTCTACATCTCTCGTTTTTTCTGTTTATTAAAGGAAAAGTTGACATAATAAAGGAAATTATGTCATTATTTACTCACCCTTGTCATTCCAAACCTGTGTGCTGTTCTTTTTCCCTGAGGAAAACAAGAGGAGAAATTTTTGCATGGTTATTTTACATGCAACAACAGATCATAGTCTCCCAAGTTGCAAAAATTACTGCAAAGCACCATAAAGTACATTCAACTTGTGCTTTGAAGGGATATGAAGGAGAGTACGTTTTCTTTTTTGACTGAACTAACCTTTTAAGCATATGACAGTGTAGAAACAGCAGCTGCAGGACCCCACTGTGATTAATAAGTGCCATGCAATGAACTGATCTCCGTTTAGCTTTAGGACTCTTAGACACCATATGCTGGAGAAAAACAAGCTAATTAAATAAAAGGAAACACACACATGAACGCACAGAGAATTTAGCTACAATCAACTTCTTTTTGCAAACCAGGGGGGGGGGAAGTGCCGTTGATTGGGAACCACTTGTGGGTTTTTGATTTTCTTTTAAAGAAAATCTAATGTGAAATGATTTGAAATGCCCTGCAATGTCCTAAAGTCAAATTACATGGATGCATACTGCCATCTAGTGACTCTAGTGATTTTATTCAATTCAGCCCCTGCTGACTTAAAATAATAGCTCAGAAATTAAATTCTGTCATTATTTACTAACTCCTAGGACGTTTGCCTATAGTTGGACACTAATGAATTACTACATATTGGTGCACTGCACTATTAAACTTAGTTTAATCATATGTGCATTACTTCATAGAAATCTTGTTTTATAATATACAGTTAACCAAATTAAGAAAACAAGTTAGTTACAAATTAACTAGTAGCTTCTAATGTCCTAATGTAAAATGTGCACCCCAATTTAAGGAAGACTTTATGCCGAACAAGTGCAGCTGTTCCATGTGACTGTTATTGGCTTTAATGTGATATTAATTCTGGAGGGAGGAGTTGTTTATTAAAACTTCTAGTGAAATGAAAGTTAACGGACTGAAATGAAAGGGCGGGGTGTGAGGGAAAGATAAGGTAGGTTTCACAATATCTCCAACAGTAGTTCAAAGAACAGTTCATTGGGTTTTAGAAGTAGAGCTGCTGTCTGCTTCTTTACAATCCCGGTCAGAACTTTTATTGGTCAAGTGTGTCTACTGAGAACTGACTTCAGTCATGGCAGATGCTTTGTCCTTCCTGGAAGAGGATTTCACATGTCTCATCTGTTGTGATGTCTTCACCGATCCGGTCACTTTGAAATGTAGCCACAGTTTGTGTGAGGAATGTCTCCAGCGTTTCTGGACGACTCAGGACGTGCCGCAGTGTCCGGTCTGTCGGAAGGAATGCTCTCACGACGAGCCCACCAAGAGCCTGGCGTTCAGAGCGCTCTGTGAGTCCTTCAAGAAGAGAAAACCCTCAGCTGTTTCAGGAGACGTTTGTCCAGAACATGAAGAAAAGTTCAAACTCTTCTGCTTTGTGGACAAGCTGCCCATCTGTGTGGTCTGTTACACATCAAAGAAGCACGAAGATCACAAGTGTTCTCCTGTCAACGAGGCTGCTGGGAATTTAAAGGTGCGAAGAGTCTGGAATCTGATCTGACTGACTTTTGGCATCTTCAAGCTCAGTATTAAGAGTTTATCCTGTGATTCTAGGAGGATCTCAAGACACAAATGGACAGACTGCAGGTGACACTCGATGACCTCAAGGAAGCCCATGAGAGCTGTGTCGAACGGGCTGAGCTCAGTAAGGTATGTGGTTGGTGTTGTAATATGTAGTGAAGATTTAGGTCAAGTTAAAAGGATATTTCACCCAAAATGAAAATTTGGCCATGCAAGACGTGTGACTTTTCTTCAGTGGAACAGTAATTAAGTTTTTAGCTGAAACTGTGATCCTTGGTGATTCATACAATGCAAGTCAGCAGCTAAGTCACTTTAAGAGTAAAAAAAAAGCATATCAACGAAAACTAAAATAGTACCCGTGGCTCCTGATGATACATTAAAGTCTTATGAAGCAAAACGATCGGTCTGTGCAAGAAACTGAACATTAGGCATCAGGCAAACGGTCCGGAGTGATGCCTGGTTCACAAAATCAGTTCACCAAATTAGGCTGATGCGTCTGAAACATTCTGCGGCTGGAGCAACACAGATCTACAAGTTACTCAATCAGAACTCCCTTTCAGACGCCTGACAGTCACTCCAACTCAAAATGAGTCAAAATAGTGGCGTATCTGATCCTATGATGAATGAATCATTCAGTGCTCCAGTTCCTCCAACAGTCACTGAACTGAGGAAACAGTTCGACTCAGATTGAAGACTGATGAGCCGCTGATATGAGCATGTGTGAACCGAACACTTGAATGAAGGGCCAAATGATTGTTTTTATGGTTTCTCATTGTTTATGTAAAATCAGGTGAGCTGATGAAGACTAGTTCATTCACTTTTTATGCTTTAGACAAGTAAAACATCCACGTTTCGCACTTGGATGGCCTGAGGGTGAGTAAATTAATGGCATATTTTCATTTTTGGGTGAACTATCCCTTTAACAAAGGATTAAACCTTCTTCTTAAACCATTTCAGGAACACACCAATATGGATGAAAACCAAATCAAGAAGGAATTTGAGAAGCTCCATCAGTTTCTTAAAGACGAGGAGGAGAAACAGATCAGATCCTTGCATAAAGAAATGAAACTTCAAGATGAGAAACTCCAGGCCAGAATGAAGGAGCTCTCCGCACAGATATCAGATCTGTCTGAGAGGATGGCAGCCGTCTGGCAGGACATAGAAGCTGAAAACATCACATTTCTCCAGGTACAGATCAGATCAAATACTCAACGATACACATAAAACCAAAGACAAAAGTCAGAACTGTAATCTGGTGCAAACGTGTCTGATAATCAATGTTGATGTTTGCTCAACCTGATGACTGAGCGCTAATTGCTTTTTTATTTCTCAATCAGAATTACAGCAACACCGTAAAAAGGTGAGTCTTTCCCAATTAGAATTTGGTTACAGCTGCAATCCCATTTTGCCCAGTGAACACCAAATATCTTACTGTTTATCTACACAGACTCCAACACCCATCAGTAGCAAACACAACCCCTGAACTACAAGAATATCAGCACTATCCCATTCAGACAGTGATCTTCGCCACATGGGCCAGAATGCAGAACCTTGTGGAACAGCGTAAGTAATAGCATCTTCTTAGACATCTGCTTAGAGTGTATGCTGTTATTTTTTTCCATGAAGCACAAATGAAAAAAAAAACATTCAGCTCTTTTCTAATTTACATAATTACAAGATGATAACACATGATGTTCTACTTGCAGCTGTTCACACGCTCAGACTCGACTTTATCAACTGAATTATGCTATGGCAACACAGATAACACCAAAATTATTCTATGTAATGTGAGTTATCAATAGACACTTTGTATGTCTTGTTTATTCACAGATTATTCTTGCATTATTAAGACATTAAAAATAGTGAATGATATATCAGAAACATTACAAAATAACTGAACTACATTTTACCGCTGAAGCCACAGTAAATTTGAGTGTAACCAGGTGACGCTGTAGTGGTCATACGAGTCAGAGCTCAGTTGTAATTATGAGTTCTACAAGGACGTGAATGCTTTTTACATGTTCGACTCTCGTAATTATGCCAATTCTGATGTGCCGTGAACAGACTTAAAGTACCATAAAATAAGTGTTGTTGGATTTTTTTGGACCAAGCCACTAGTCACCATCCACTTTTATTGTGTGCAACAGAAAAAAAATAACAACATACAGGTTTGGAAAGATATGATGGTAAGTCTATAAAGAACAAACACATGAGTAGTAGTGCAGTGGTACTGACTGATGAAAGGCTCTGCATTTTACAGTCATCTGTGTTTCAGCTCCTGTGACTCTGGACCCAGACACATCCTCCAGTAAACTGCTGGTGTCACAGGACTGCACCAGTGTTCAGTACGTAGAAATGAATCTGCATGTGTCTGATAACCCAAAAAGGCTACATGACGGGGTGCTGGCCTCACAGGGCTTCAGCTCAGGTGTGCACTGCTGGGACGTAGAGGTGGGTGATAACAACAACTGGACACTGGGAGTGATGGGGGAAACGGTGAACCGCAAAAAACTTTGTAAAATGAATGCAAAAAATCGCTTTTGGTGTTTTCGTAATGTGGATGGTAAATACAAGAAAGGTAAAAAACCTGTCAGTGATATTGATAGCAATGAAAGGCCAAATATCATCCGACTGGAGCTGGACTTTGACAAAGGAGAGCTGAGATTCATCGACCCTTCCAGAAACAGAAGTCTGTGCACCTACACTGGTGGATTTCCAGAGAAAGTGTTCCCATATTTCTGTACTGGAGATGCGGACACACCACTGAGTCTTTTCCCAGCAAATACACTAAACGTCTAAAAACCAAAACTAACATGACATTTTATTTTACACATGATAAAATAAGTGAATGCTGAACACCATAAATAGCCTTGTGCACAAGTTTTGTGCATTTGTCCATCTTTCTTTAAAGCAAAAAGGCATTTGATTTTTTTTTTCTTTAACTGAAATGACCATCATAAATTTAGTATGGCTTAAGTGTCCAAATACTTTTTTGGAGCCACTGTATGTCCAGCAATGTGATTATTTAATCATGCAATGTTTCAGTACAAATGATGATGCATTAATAAGGCAGATTTTAATGTGATTATCAATGTAAAAAGCAATAAAGACTATTTGGTGTACCGATGTGATATTACAGAATTGCAAGTGAAATGTAGTGTGGTGACTTTACCTGTGCCAGCTGATTGGTCAGCTCAACCTGGTGGCATTTCCTCCTTTCTGATATTGGCAAGTGTGGAGGACGGCACATACCTGGAACACCTGCTATGATGAAACTCACAGTTTTTTCTTGCAATTCTGAGTTTATATCTCACAATCCTGAGACATAAAAACAGAATTGCAAGATATAAACTTGCAATTCTGAGAAGAAAAGTCCATATTGTGAGATATAAACTCACAATTGTGAGAAAAAATTTTTCTAAAAGCCATGGCTGAAACAAACATTTTTTTTTTTTTTATTTGTTTTGAAATTCCCTTTTTTTATTTTTTTCATCCAGTTGAGGAAACAAGCTTCCATAGAAATCTGACCCTAAATTGATTCTCCCTAATATACTTTGCCGATAATAAAAGTCTACAAGGCTCACATGGGGTAGTTAAAGTCCAGAGTGAAGATGTCATCCGCCACACGTCCAAACTGCATCACGATGTAGTCAGCTGAAAACACACCAACACACAATCACAACAGTGCAACTGGGCTTGACAAATCTACCAGTGACAACTGCCATCTAGTGACAATTTTATACAACTCAGATCTTTTCTCCTACTCTGTTGTCACTGCGGCCCCTGCTGACATTAAAATGACAGTTCAGAAATGAAAACTTTATCATCATTTACACATCCTCAGGACATTTGCCTAGTTCAGTGGTTCTCAATCCTCTCCATGAAGTACCCCCAGCACTGCACATTTTGTATGTCTCCCTATATCTGACACACCCACTTCAGGTCTTGCAGTCTCCGCTAATGAGCTGATGAGTTGAATCAGGTGTGATAGATGAGGGAGACATACAGCCGTACTCCAGAACAGGTTGAGAACCACTGGCCTAGTTCTATCATACATGGACAGTAAATAATTACTAAATATTGATGCACTGCACTATTAAACTTAAACGTATGTAATCAGTGCAAGAGTTGTCACAAGACATCATTGCTTGTGCATTCTGAGATTATGAGTGTGAATTCAACCAAACATACAGTCAACCAAATTAAGTAAACAAGTCAGTTACAAACTAACTAGTAGTTGCTAATCTCCAAATGTAAAATGTATGCTCTAATTGAAGTAAGACGTCATGCTGAGCAGGTGCAGCCGCACTATGTGATCATTTCTTGGTTGTTAGTCTTTGTAATATGATATCCTGGAGGGAGGAGTTGATAAATCTTCTACGTAAACGAAAGTTAAGTAAAAGAAATGAAAGGGTTGGGTGTGGTGAAAGGTAAAGCAGGTTTCACAGTATCTCCAGTTAGAAAGTACATTTATTGGGCTTGAGAAGTAAAGCAGCTGTTACTATTACTGCAATTTCAGTTGGAACTTCTATTGGCTGAGAATTGAGAACTGACTTTAGTCATGGCAGACGCTTTGTCCTTTCTGGAAGAGGATTTGACATGTCTCATCTGTTGTGATGTCTTCACCGATCCGGTCACTTTGAAATGTAGCCACAGTTTGTGTGAGGAATGTCTCCAGCGTTTCTGGACGACTCAGGACGTGCCGCAGTGTCCGGTCTGTCGGAAGGAATGCTCTCACGACGAGCCCACCAAGAGCCTGGCGTTCAGAGCGCTCTGTGAGTCCTTCAAGAAGAGAAAACCCTCAGCTGTTTCAGGAGACGTTTGTCCAGAACATGAAGAAAAGTTCAAACTCTTCTGCTTTGTGGACAAGCAGCCCATCTGTGTGGTCTGTTACACATCAAAGAAGCACGAAGATCACAAGTGTTCTCCTGTCAACGAGGCTGCTGGGAATTTAAAGGTGCGAAGAGTCTGGAATCTGATCTGACTGACTTTTGGCATCTTCAAGCTCAGTATTAAGAGTTTATCCTGTGATTCTAGGAGGATCTCAAGACACAAATGGACAGACTGCAGGTGACACTCGATGACCTCAAGGAAGCCCATGAGAGCTGTGTCGAACGGGCTGAGCTCAGTAAGGTATGTGGTTATGGCATGTTCAAGTCCTCCTGGGAAGTTCTTATTTAGGAATTAGGAAGTCTACAATCATTCCAACATGACTTGAACACACCATTAGTTTTGTAATCAGTAGTGAACTTTTACATTGTTAACAGAAAGGCTTAAAAGGTTAGTTCACCCAAAAATGAAAATTCTGTCATTAATTACTCACCCTCATGTCGTTCTAAACCCATAAGACCTCCGTTCATCTTCGGAACACAAATTAAGATATTTTTAATGAATTCTGAGAGCTCTCTGACCCTCCCATAGACAACAATGTAATTACCAGGATCAAGGTCCAGAAACGTAGCAATGAGATCGGTAAAATAATCCATGTGACATCAGGGTTTCAACCGTAATTTTACGAAGCCACGGGAATACTTTTTGTATGCAAAGAAAACAAAAATAACGACTTATCCACTGAACGTAAACAGCGTATGCTATTCTGTGTCAGCTGCGTCACGCTTTGATCTGAACGAAAACAGCGTATCCGCGTGGCGCAGCTGACACAGAATAGCATACGCTGTTTACGTTCAGTGCATACTCTCCAAAATGGCACCATGGTGACGCGGAGGAGACGAATTGTTGAATAAAGTCGTTATTTTTGTTTTGTTTGCATACAAAAGTATTCTCGTAGCTTCGTAAAATTACGGTTGAAACCCTGATGTCACATGGATTATTTTACCGATCTCCTTACTACGTTTCTGGACCTTGATCGTGGTAATTACATTGCTGTCTATGGGAGGGTCAGAGAGCTCTCAGAATTCATCAAAAATATCTTAACGACATGAACGACATGAAGGTGAGTAATTAATGACAGAATTTTCATTTTTGGGTGAACTATCCCTTTAAACCATTTCAGGAACACACCAATATGGATGAAAACCAAATAAAGGAGGAATTTGAGAAGCTCCATCAGTTTCTGAGAGACGAGGAGGAGAAACAGATCAGATCCTTGCATAAAGAAATGAAACTTCAAGATGAGAAACTCCAGGCCAGAATGAAGGAGCTCTCCGCACAGATATCAGATCTGTCTGAGAGGATGGCAGCCGTCTGGCAGGACATAGAAGCTGAAAACATCACATTTCTCCAGGTACAGATCAGATCAAATACTCAACGATACACATAAAACCAAAGACAAAAGTCAATCAGAGAGCTGTAATCTGAAGCAAGCGTATCTGATAATCAGTGTTCATGATCAATGTTTGCTCAACCTCATGACTGAACACTAATTGCTTTTTTATTTCTCATTCAGAATTACAGCGATACTTTAAAAAGGTGAGTCTTTCCCAATTAGCATTTGGTTATAGCTGCAATCCCATTTTATCCAGTGAACACCAAATATCTTACGGTTTATCTACACAGACTCCAACACCCATCAGTAGCAAACACAACCCCTGAACTACAAGAATATCAGCACTATCCCATTCAGACAGTGATCTTCACCACATGGGTCAAAATGCAGAACCTTGTGGAACAGCGTAAGTAACAACGTCTGCTTAGATTGTGTACATCATTTATTTACGCAAATGTTTCTCGTTGGTAGTAGTACACTGATATTGATTGGTTGGTGTTTTAACGTCGCTTCCTTGGCTATTTTCATGACGAGTAACAAGTTGAAAACCTATATAAGGTGTTTATATATATATAGCGTTGGATGTATGATATTAAGAACTTGTGTGTGATTCTGGAATGTTCTATTCAGCATCATGAATATATTTGATCTGCTCCCAGCGATTATTGAAAATATCCAATGTATTTTACCCAAAGAAAGGTTGACCGATGAAAAGCTCTGTAGTTTACGGTCATCTGTGTTTTTACAGCTCCTGTGACTCTGGACCCAGACACAGCATCGAGTAAACTGCAGGTGTCACAGGATTGCACCAGTGTTCAGTACGTAGAAAATAAACTGGTTGTGTTTGATAACCCAGAGAGAATGTATGTGGGAGTGCTGGCCTCACAGGGCTTCAGCTCAGGTGTGCACTGCTGGGACGTAGAGGTAAAAAACAACAGTCACTGGACGCTGGGAGTGGTGGCGGAAACAGTGAACCGCAAAAAATATTACAAATTGTATCCAAAGAAACATTTTTGGTGTTTTCATTACATGAATGCTACATACAAGCAAGGAAACGATCCTGTCAGCAATATTGATAGCAATGAGAGGCCAAATATCATCCGACTGCAGCTGGACTTTGATGAAGGAGAGCTGAGATTCATCGACCCTTCCAGAAACAGGATTTTGTGTACCTACACTGCTGGATTTCCAGAGAAAGTGTTCCCATATTTCTGTACTGAAGATATGATCAGCCCACTTAACATTTTCATGTCAAATAAACAAAAATGGTAAACCACAACTAACACAAAATTTGTTTTTATATACGTTGTGTTTTGTGCATGTGCCAAGATAATCCTCAAATGCGATGACCTTCATGCAGTGTGAATTGAGTTACAGTCTATGGTGTCCAAATCATTTTTAGGGCCACTGTATATCAAGCTATGTGATTATTTAATCATGTAATGTTTAAGTGTATAGGGTGAAACATTATAAATATGGCAAATTTTAATGTGATTATCAATGAAAAAATAAATAAAGACTATTTGGTGTACCAATGTGACATTATTGAATTGCAAGTGAAATGCAGTGTGGTTCTGACAAATAATGCTACCTATCAGATTATGCTACCAACACTGTATTTATCCTACTGAACACCGTCACCTCTGCCAGCTGATTGTTGGGTGGTGTTGGTGTTCCAGTGGAATTCCTCCTAATTTTAATTATTGTGGAGGATGACACATTCCTGCAATACCTGCTCTGATTAAACTCTCAGGCTATGAATACAAGTAAACCATAAACTGTCATAAACATGCCTAGCCTACCTGAGGGTGTTTGTCAATGTAATCAGCTTCATATTCTCCAAGGGCTGCAGAGACTGTGTTCAGTTTATTTATCCAATGACGCTAGGATTATGAAAATAATTTTAATAATCCGCGTCCAGCTATTTTTAGCTGTATAAAACAGCTCGTTTTGCTGTTTGATATTTCAAATGGGTGTGTCTTACCATATTATTTTAATCTATTATCTTAATTATGAACACACTGGTTTGTGGTGTTTGTTGTACTGCACGTTGTTAATCTCCTTATTTCCTTACAGCGGTTCCTTAAAGGGACTTTAGTTTAAGACACGCTCAATTGACAACAAATACAAATCACCAGAAGAAAAAAACGACTGTATTTACGTTAAAATTTTTAAAGAGCTGCTTGCACTTGCTTAGAATAAATATCTTGTTTTCATTCGAGCGCTCAGTCTTGTGGCCAGGACACATAACACACACTCATAGAAATCATACCACACACAGGACCAAAGTGATTTTTCCTTTTACCAGTTTTTAATAACCAAGTGGCACTGATATATCTGGCAGATAAAATAATAAACACAATGTAGCCTGATCTCAGCCGCTTGATCATGTATTTAATCAACACATATCATATCACCCTAATTTATTTAAAGGGGTCATATGATGCGATTTCAATTTTTCTTTTCTCTTTGGAGTGTTCCAAGCTCTTGGTGCATAAAGAAGATCTGTAAAGTTGCAAAGACTAAAGTCTCAAATCCAAAGAGATATTCTTTATAAAAGTTAAGAGTCAGCCACACCTACCTAAAACGCCTCGTTCTAACACGCCCCCACATGTCTACGTCACTATGTGGGAAGATTTGCATAACACCGCCCAAATGTTCACGCAAAGAAAGAAGGATTAACTTTTATTCTCGCTGTAGTATTGTTGTTGCCGCCGCCGCCATGTCGTGAAGACGCTGTGTGTTTCG